TTTCTCTCCGGAGTGCTACAGACAGAGATAGAGCATTATATTAAGTACGGTTATTAAATTTCCATATTTAGACGTGCAAAGCCAAGCTCCTCCAGGAGTCCTTGGAAGCCATTCAGTTACCAATAACCAGATCTGCGGCTGTGGCAGCAATTCTCCACATTGTCATTTGGGTGGAGTGGAGGCTGAGATCCCCGTCCCAGTTGTGGTGGAGGCTGACGTCCCCATCCAGACTCTCCCTGAGATGCCTGTGGGTCCTGGCCACCCATGAGTGCAGGCAGAAAGTAAAGAGAGGAGAGATGAGACCAGAGGGACGGTGGTCTCCTCTGAGGAACCCTCCTGACCTCCCAGGCACACCCGGTGACGGCCTCCTCTGGACTCGGGCAGCCCTCTGCCTGGGCAGCTGCATCGGCTGTGAAATGGCCTGGCTGTTAGGAGGGCCCCTGGTGTCCGCCTCCCCCAGAGTGTGAGCAACATGAGCTCCCAACCCAGCTCTGCATCCAGGTCAGATGCCCAGTAACCACAGAGTGGCCGGGAAGAGGGGACCGGCCCTGAGGCTGCAGCCTGCTGCTTTCCTAAGGTCTTGTTAGTCTTGGAAATGCATTTCCTCTCAGCTCCAGGGGAAGCCATGGCCAAGCTCGGATTCAGGTATGGAAACAGGACCTCAGTCAGGATTTTGTAGAAACTGTCAGAGAAGCAGCCTTCTCTTTCCACTGGGGATCTGAAGCTCACTGGATGGAAGTGTAAGTCCACAGGTGGTCCCTCTGCTGAGGGGATGCAGCAGGACCCTCAGTGGAGGCCAGCTTGCAGGTGAGTGGTACTGACAGAAGAAGAGGTCTTGATGATGATCTTGTCTGAGGCTCTGGATCCAGCTGAGCCTGAAGCCTGTGTCATTCTTGAATTTCCTTTTTGCATCTAAGGTGATTTTCTGTCTCTTGATTTTCTGTCACTCTTGTTTTTCCTGGATAAGGCTCCCAGATTCCCAACTTCCCTCTCATTTACTGGGTACCTTCATAAAGGGTGTATCCTAGGCCTGAGGGTGGTGATGACTTGCTTGAGGTCACGAGAGGCTTAGAAGGGGGCTGACATCAGAACTAGGCTGCCCGACTCTCAGGCCACCCCCCATATGCCACACCGCCTCCCCTTCTCTCCCTGGGAATCCAGCATGGGACCAGACCCTGTAGCCAAAGCCACCAAAGGCAACCAAGAGTGAGATGTCTGGCGTATTAGTCAGGGCTCTCTGGAGGAAGAGAATCAACAGGAAGTATAATTATAAAAAGGGAATTTATTAGATGGGCTTACACGAGCAGAAGCAGGATAGTCCAGAATGGCAGGCTGCAGAGCTGGAGGAACCAGGAGCTGCGCAGTTGAAGTTGAAGCCTCAGAACAAGAGGGATCAACGGTGCTGCCCCAGTCCGAGACTGAAGGCTTCTGGAAACTCCCTGGAGATCACTGGCAGAGTCCACTTTAGAAAAGTAAAGGAGTGAGATGTCCTCAGGGGATCACAACAGCAATCAAGATCCCAAGGGCTGGGGTCCTGAGTGGCTCAGCGGTAGAGTGCTTGCCTAGCACATATGAGGTGTTAGGTTCAATCCTCAGCACCACATAAAAATAAATAAATAAAATAAAAGTACTGTGTCCATCTATAGCTAAAAATATTTAAAAAAAAAAAAAAAAAACTCAAGAAGAATCCAGTTTGCCTCTGTGGCTGCTTCCTTGTTCTTCCAACTTTTATTAGGAGACATCATCCTATTGGACAGTGCTGCCCACACTTAGGGAGGGTCTCCATTTCAGTTGGCTATCCCACATGCCAATCATCCCTAGACACACCCAGAAGCCTCTTAATCTTTGGTGTCTCTTAAGCCAATCAAGTTTAATTCAAATTATCCAGTGCACTCGGTTAGCTGTATTCTACCTCCCCACCCCACAGTGTCCAGGCCACAGACCAGCGAAGGTACAAACAGAGCCGTCCCCATGGCAATCAGTGCAGAGGCTACTTCAGCCTGAAAAGGGGTTTTCAACGGGAAGGGAACCAGAGTTAGAAAGGGAACTGGGGAGGGAGCCAAAGGTAGAGCCCAGAAGTGTCATCTCCACTTTGTCCATTGACTTGGCCACTCCGGCTGCTGCTGGAATCAACCCCAAGAACTAACCCACCTGCTAATGTGCCCACAGGCAGTTGCCACAGTACCTGCTTACAGACCACCAGGCATCCTCGGGTCCTCCAACTGGCCAGGGAGGGATGTTTTGCCCCAAGAACAGCAGAGCAGACCAGCCCACAGAGGCAGCTGGCAGTCAGGGCCCAGGCCCTGGGCTCCTGGAGCTTGCCTGGGGTTGAGAAACTTGGGCATAATCTTTCTCATTTTTAGGCTAACTTTTCTCTATTGATTGAATTGTAATTTTATCATGCTGTGGTTTGAGAACGTGGTCTGTGTATAGTAGTTCTTTATTATTTACTAAGACTTGCTTTGGACCAGTAAGTGATAGATTTTATAAATATTCCACATATGCTTGAAAATTATATGTATTTAAGATAAATTATATGTATTTGTGATAAAACAGGGTTAGGATTCCTTCTGTGTCCATCTAATCAAGACTGATAAAGATGTTTTTCAAAATTTGCATCTTTACTAATTTTTTTTGGTCTACTAGAGTTCTCATTTTCCAAAACGTATGTTAAAATCTCCCATAATAGCTATAAGTGTTTCTGCTTATTCTCATCCTTTTTTTTCTTGTGTACATCTGAAATAACTTTGATACTAATCCTGTAGGCTCTTTCTTCCTCGTGGTGATTCTTCATGTCCTTGTGATTTTAGATTCTAAGTTCATCCTCAGCAGTTGCAAGGCCCCCGAATTGTGAAAGAAAATAAATAAAGTTCCATGCTCAAGTCAGCGTAAGTTTGACTTGAATTCAGCACCACAAAGGCCCCAACCATGGCCAGGCCCGTCCACAGGCCCACAGGCCCTGGGGGAACATCATGTAATAAGCCGCCCAGAACTTGGTGGACGCAAACAGCAGCATTTATTCCACTCAGAAGTCTGCGATCGGGGGCTGGGCTCAGGGGAAATGGGACATCTGTATCCTACTGGCCTCGGCTGGAACAACACAAAGGCCAAGAGCCGGAATGGCTGAAGGCTGGTCAAGGCTCACATTCCCCAGGGGAACCAGCCAGTGATCACTGACAAGTGGACTAAATCGGGCCACTGTCATCATGGAGGAGCAGCACTTTTTTTCTGGTTGGAATGCAATCTCAAGGTATGGACTTGCCTTTCTTGCTGGCCATCCTGCAAAATCGACCTGCAGAGGCTTCCTGGACACCTAATTCACAGTGGTGGTGTTTACTTGGAGGCCAGGGTAAGGAGGAGAGGAAGACTTACAAACCAAAATAAATAGGGAAATTGTACTACTCAAACTTAACCGTCATCCAGTTCAGATTAGTCAAGGGTCCCTCCTGACAACTGAAGGCCAGCAGATGTAATGTTCCAGGGGAGAACTGTTTTCAAAATTAATGTCCCAAGCCAGGTATGGTGTCATAAATATGTAATCCCAGCTACTCAGGAGGCTGAGGCAGAAGGATCATAAATTTGAGGCCAGATTCTGAAACTTAGACCCTATCTCAAAGAAAGGGGGAGGGGGGTTAGGTGTAGCTCAATGGTAGAGCTCTTGCCTAGCATACTTGAGACCCCGGGTTCAATCCTTGTGCCCCCCCCTCCAAAAAACTCCTGCCTCACCACAAATTTATTAGATAAAAACTTAAAATGAGGGCTGGGTATATAGCTCAGTTGGTATGCACAAGGCCCTGAGTTCAATCCCCAGCAACACACACACACACACACACCAACAACAAAAAAAAAAACCTTGAAATTAGAAAAAAATTTTTCAATTATAGGAAAGCATTTCTTCAACTGTCCACTAAGCTTTCTACAAGTTGCAGACACAGAAACATGAAGACCATTTAATTCTATTTTTTAAAAAATACATTCTAACTTTTATGCAGGCAGTTGACACAGTACCTGCTTACAGACCACCACCCATCCACAGGTCCTTGAACTGGCCAGGGATGTTTTGCCCCAAGAACAGCAGAGCAGACCAGCCCCACAGAGGCAGCTGGCAGTCAGGGCCCAGGCCCTGGGCTCCTGGAGCTTGCCTGGGGTTGAGAAACTTGGGCATAATCTTTCTCATTTTTAGGCTAACTTTTCTCTATTGATTGAATTGTAATTTTTATCATGCTGTGGTTTGTGAACATGGTCTGTGTATAGTAACTGAAAACAGTATGTCCCGATATGTATCCCACGAAGTAAACCTCAACTTTCCCAGGAGCTGAAGTTGTGCACTGTCAAGGTCCCCCAGGAAGTCAGCTCTCTGACCTCTCCAAATGGATCCCTAACTGGGCTGCAGCCCCATTCCCACAGGGGACCAGCCTGACCCCCTGGCCACCCCTCCCAGGGACCAGGACAGGCTCTGACTGCCAGCTTCGTCCTGGCAGATGCCTGGGCCAGGGCTTTGGGCTTCCTCATCCATCTGGAAACAGTTCTATCTGTTCTCAAAGCCTGAGGCGGGTCAGCCGGGACCACGGAGGCACCACCGAGGCCCAGCCCCCTTCCTGAAGTAGAAATGGGTGCCCGGTAGGGTTAGATCTGTTTCTTTTCTTTAAAAGCTTCTCTGCCAGGTGAATTCAGATCCAGTTAGTCACTGAATACAAGTGTTAGCAGCTGCAGAAAGGGGCTCGAGGTGGCCATCGTCACTTACTCACCCTCTACTGAATAAACCTCGGCTCAGAGCTGTGAGCCAAAAGAGGAGCCGGGAGGTCCTGCGGAGGAGACAGCAGAATGTCACGGCACTGTGTCAGGGAAATGTGAGTCACTAACTTCAGGAAGGGGGGGGCAAGGTGGAGACCCACGGGGGTCAGGGAAGTGGTACTGGTCAAGTCTCCTTTAGAGGCAAGAAGCAGAATCCCAGATTAAACTGTCATATTAAAAGAGATTTATTGGATCATCTAACTGGGAAATCCAGGGGTATTCTGCTTCAGGAATAGCTGGATCCAGAGGCTCAAGCCATGTTGTCCTTAGGGCTCTGACAGTATATGATTTTCTATTGCATGACGGTGCTCTTTCAGTGCAGGCAAGATGGCCAATGGCAGTCACAAACTCCTAACATCCCAGGTGACATGACAAAAAAAGAACACTTTCCTCTTGCAAGATTCTCTCATCAATCTCAGGGAAGGGTCTGGTTAACCCTGGTTGGGTCCCGTCACCCATGCCTGAGCCCATGCCTTGGCCCATCCCTGTGACCAGGGAGAGAGGATTCTGGATTGGTCCGTGTCAGCCCTACCAGGACCACCTGGCATGAGACAGGCGTTATCCGGAAAAACTTAAGGAGTTCGGAAAGCATGCTTCATCAGCCGATGGCCTCAGCAGCCGGAGCTGGCCTTGACGGCCAGGCAGGATTTCCTCCGAGACTGGAGGAGAGCAGAGGGAACCAGCATGGGACAGGAATGACCCAGAGAACATCTGGTGAGGGAGTGGAAAGCAGAGGAGAGCCCCAGAGCTCAGGCACCTCCTCGCTGTGCTTTGACTCTCTCCTCCCCAGGGCTGTCACTCTGCTGAACCTGGGGGTGGCAGGTGGGTGCAGAGGGAGAGGTGAAGAAGCCCAGAGGACAGGACTCCTGGGTGGGCTATTCTGAGAATGACGTTAGCACCACCAGGTCCTGGCTGGACGCCCCCCCAGGTGTCCGGTGCTGGCAACCCCTGGGCAAGTGTAGCTACCGAGACATGCTGGCAGGTGGGCGAGGTCCCTGCAGAGGCCATCTGGCTGAGTCTCCGGGACAAGGGAGGCCATCGCTGTCAGGCTTCCATGGCAGACGAAGCAGCAACGAGAAGACAGGAGCTCCGTCGCACCTGGAATCTGACATCCTGCATCCAAACTTGGGTATTTTTTTTTAAATGAGTCAGCCAATAAACAGCTCAATAAAGAAAAATAAATACTCTATTCCCACCACCTAAGGCCACCGTTTACAACCTTTTATTATCTTCCTATACTTTTATGTATGCATATATACAAAAGCAAAGGCACACACCAACAGTTTAACAGAAGGGGAGTTCACCGTGTTTGGTGACCCCATTTCTCAGTGGGGTGCGTTCACATTTCCAGGCCACTGCCTGCCCTGCTACTGCAGAGCAGGGCACCTGGGACCTAAAGGAGAGAAGCGACTGGCCAGTTTCACGGAGCAAGTCACAGGTGGGTCTGAAACATGGACCCTGGCTCTGGGTCACTCAGGCCCTTTCCATCCACACTGCTACCACCCATGACTTCTCTTCTGAAGGTGGCACCAGTGTTCCACCAGGAGCCTTTGGCCTCCGGTGGCAGGCAGCAGCTGGCTGGGAGATCATGCCTTGGACTCCCCCAACAGATCCTGCATGCACCCAGCCCTCAACCTCAGGGCAGCCTGCAGAACAGCCACAGTGCTGGCCTGACCAGGACCCTGCTTCCCAGGGGCTGTCGCCTCCTGCCCTCTGGCTGGACTGGGCTGGACTGGGCTGCACAGGGAGACGGCCCTTCACTTTATCTCTGGCTGCGAGATGAAGTGGGCACCTCCCAAGCACAGCCAGGTGGTCAGGATTCTCTGCAGGGCTCGGAGACACGTGCTGCACTTTTCTTTGGTTCCAGAAGGGAGCTAGTCATTAGCAAATGCCACCCACCTGGACGCGATGGGCCCTGACAATGCATCCAGCATCCTGAAAGGCAACTCCATCACCCAGAACCTTCCCAGGGAACTAGAGGAAAGTGGACAGATAAAAGAATAGCTTGAGACACACCCAATAGGGCTGCTGTCCCCTGAGACACAGGAGGACAATCACAGCTGAATCAGAGAACAGATGGGTGATGGCTGTTCATCTATTGGACTGGGTTCAAATTCCCTTCCAGCTTTCACCGGCTGTGTGGCCTTGGGTATGTTGCATTCCTCTCTGAGCCTCACCCTCCATATCTATAAAATGGAATTGCCCATAATAATCCTCCCTCGGTTGTTGGGGATTAAATGAGTTAACAGTACCGGGTATGCTACTCTTGATCCTTATCATTAGTGTGTGTGTGTGTGTGTGTGTGTGTGTGTGTGTACCAGGGATTGAGCTCAGGAACCCTTCCATCCCCAGCCCTATTTTGTATTTCAGTTAGGGACAGGGTCTCACTGGGTTGGTTTTTATTATTTGGCTGGCAGTCATGCAAACTATCATGTTAGTAAATAACAGCCATATCATAAGATACTCAAAACACCAAATTATATGTTAGTCACTTTCTAAGCTGTAGTCTATATCTCTTGCCTTCTTTTTTTTTTTCTTTTATTTATTTTTTAGTTTTAGGTGGACACAATATCTTTATTTTGTTTCTCTGCAGTGCTGAGAATCGAACCCAGTGCCTCAAGCATGCTAGGCGAGCACGCTACCACTTGAGCCACATCCCCAGCCCCATCTCTTGCCTTCTTAAACAGAGTAAATGAAATTTAACATGTACCCAAGAATTCAGAGTTAACATTGCCAAATTACTATATTCTGCCCTGTGCAGTAATACCTGCAGATGCATGTCCACCTCCTCCTCTACCTCCAATAACTTTTTGGTCTGAGCTGAGAAACCAGGTAAAATGGTATGYAAAAGTGTGTGCAAAGGAAGGGCCAGCGGGCGCCTAGAGAGGGGCCCACCTTCTGCTTCGCAAAACAGCAGCAGTAGGTCACCTCTGTTCAGAGACATCCATCCCAGGCCTTCCAACTCACTTCCCACTTTGCAGCCTCACCCTGGATGGCCAAGGGCTGGGGTGTCTGGTCAAAAAAAGTGACCATTACTTCCCAGAAGTGTGACACACAAGTTCCTTTCTAGAGATTTCAGTTGAAGTGAATTAAAGTCTCTGACATCCGGGTTTCTCCTTCCAGTCTGGGAGGGACCATTCTGGAGTCATCCTGAGAAGAGCCAGCTGCCAGTGGCCTCATGGAAACGGTGTGGGTCTCCCGACCTGTGACTCCCTAGCTCCCCACCCACACAGCACTCACAGTGCCCACCGGCCCCCACGGTCCCTTTCTGCAGTCCTGGCTCGCCTCGCCCAGAGACATTTGCAGAGACCAGAACAGGCACCGAGGGTCTCTCCCTCCAGAGCCCCCACCACGTSGAGGAGCAGACAGAAACCAGCCAGGTCCACTCAAGCCTCCTATCACGTGATGGGGAGGTGACAGGTACAAAGTCCCTGAAGACTCTGAGGTGAAAGTGACCACCTGCGTGGGTAAAGGAGAAGCTTTCTGAAGGGAAACTAGAGTCGAGGATTGAAAGCCCAATAGGGAGAAGGGAAGTGTATTCCTGGCCGAGCAAGCGGCTTGTGCAGAGGTTTGTGTGAAGTTGAGGCCAGAGCACAAACATCCCTACAGCATTCAGTCACCACACTGTCCCAAAGRGACCAGAAATCCCCAAGAGCTGACGATGGAGACCCCTAGGTCTGTTTTAAGATTCAGGAACCTAAGGTTCCACATCAGTCCCCCAGCCAGGTCCACCCAAGGAACAGGCATGTCTTAAAACCTTGCAATCGCTATGCATGGTGGTCCGTGCCTGTAAACTAGCTATTAGGGAGGCTGAGGCATGAGCGTCAGCAACTGAGTGAAACCCTGTCTCAAAATAAAATAAAATAAAGGTTGGGAATGTAGTTCAGTGGTACAGCATCTCTGGGTTCAGTCCCCAGTGCTGGAGTAGCAGGGATCTTGTGGTCACCTGCTGAAATCAGTAACCACAGAGGAGCAACTGGCCCTGCRTACACAATGTTTTCATAGAGCAGCTGATCCCCTGGGCAAACCAGCTAAAAATAGCCCCGGGATAGATTTCCAGACAAGACTGACGCATTCAAACCAAAAAGACTCCAAGATTGGCACAGGCGGTGAAACCCAAATATCAGTAGGCTCCTGCAGCCTGCGGAGCACTTGGCTCCATCAGCAGCAGATCTGCTCATTGAGCACCTGCTGGACCTGGGAAGAGACGGGAGTGTGCACCACCCCTTAAATAGACCGTAGCTTGTCCCTACAGCAGCAAGGGGACAGCAGGGCTCTACATGTACTGACCCCAAAAGGGTCTAAGACACAGTTAATGAAAAAAGCAAAACGCAGGATTTATGGGATCTCAGCTACAGTAAACTTAAAAAGAATGTCCACGTGTGCATGCATGTGTAAGCACATGGCAAAAAACACAGGGCTACCTCACAAGCCCGTGCAGTGGTACCATTAACCCCACTGAAACTTCTGAGGTCACGGAACCTGACCATGAGATATATAACAACAATTGCTAAGATTTATGCAGCGATTTTTTAAAACATTAAACTCATTCATGAATGAACGGAGGGATGCTGTGTGCCTGGCCCCACCCCTCCCACACTCCCACAGGACAAAACAGCAAACCAAGCCCAACTCCCACCCCCAGGGTGCGCCCCTGGGGAAGAAATCACAGAGGGTAAGATGAGGCAGTGTGGGGGACAACTTTAGTGTCGTCTGAATTTTTATAATAGGAAAAAATCCACTATTTGAATAATTAACATGTATTTTCAGTGTTCTCATTGAAAAGGTACTTTTGCATTCGACGTGCTTACTCTTCAGGTCTCATACCCCAATACTGGGAGTTTGGGGTTTGGGTTTTTAATAAATATTTTCTTAATCATACATGGATAATTTATTTTTTTATGTGGTGCTAAGGATCAAACCCAGTGCCTCACACATGCCAGATGAGTGCGCTTCCACAGAGTCACAACCCCAGCCCCACATTTTTAATAATTTTAGTTTTAATTACGGTAATAGTAATGTGCATTGAGAAAAGTAAAATATGTATTTCAAAAATCTAGAAAAAGGCATGCTGAATGCTTTCACCATACGGAAACGGTGTCTGAGGCGACAGGTACGTTCACCCTGGTTTGAACAGTGTGGAGTCGTGTGGAGACAATGTGGCACGCTCTGAAGTGAGTTATCAGCAACATCTACTAATAATCAAAGACCAATAGGCACAGTTTTTATGTGTTCRTGTATGCATGAAAAAATGAACTTAGTATTTTTTTTTTGAAAAGTGAGACACAGATACGTGCCACTCACAGGAACCTTGCTATGCTTGTCCCTTCGCTCAACTTTATGCAGCTGTCACCCCATGGGATCTTTACGGCCACACGATAGCCATTTACAGATCAGTTCTCAACCAGGGGTGACTTCGCCTCTGAGGGACAAGAGGCAAAGTCTGGGGACATTTTGGTTGTCACACTGGAGACAGGGCAATTATTCCTGGCACCTAATAGGTAGGCCCAGGGAGGCTGCTAAGCATTCCACAAGGTTGGGGACAGTGGGAGTAAGACACAATGCAGAACTACTCACCCCAAAACAGCCACAGGGCTGAGGCTGGGAACAACAACTAGCCCAAGGTGACACGGCCAGGGATATAGGCAAGATATGTGCACACACTACCCTCCAGGCCAAAGGGCAAGTAAAGTTGGAAATGGGATTMAGATTTCTAGTCAGCTGATCCTAAAATAGGGAGAGGATCTGTATTATCCAGGGGTGCAATCGCTGGGGACCTTAAAAGGAAGAGGTCACAGAGATGCAGAGTGGGACTGACTCAACCCAACACGCTAGTTTTGAAGATGGGAGACCTTCCAAGCCTAGCTCGTGACCCCAAAGCCTAGCTCGTGACCCATGTTAGAAGAAGAGGGAAAGTATCTGTAGTCTCATCCCATATCCCAGGGAGAACCACTGTTACTGTTTCAGAATTACACCAGTTACAGATTTAACTGTGAGCATTTGCCCAGGTCATTAAAATTAAAACATAACTTCCACTGACTATATAATAACCACCATCGCTGAACTACTCTTTTTTTTTTTTGGGGGGGGGGGTACTAAAGATTAAACCCAGGGCCACTCTACCACTGAGCTACATCTCCAGCCCTTTTCATTTTCTATTTTTAGCAAGTTCTCACTAAATTGCCTAGGCTGGCCTTGAACTTTTGATTCTCCTGCCTCAGCCTCCAAATAGTGAGGATTACAATCCTGCACCATGCCCAGCTAAGGTGTTCCTCCCTCACTTTGGCCATTAGGTTGTTTTCAATTCTGTACTATTATAAACAACCCCACAAATAATGTTTTTTGCTGTAATTTCTGAGTGCATCTTGGGTTACAGTCAGCACATAATGATATTTCAGTCAACAACAGATGCATAAGATAACAGAGCCATGAGATGACAAGCTGCCGTTTTTTTGTTTTTTTTTTTTACATACCAGGGATTGAACTCAGGGGCACTTGACCATTGAGCCACATCCCCACTGAGCCACATTCCCACATCCCCAGCCCTATTTTGTATTTTATTAGAGACTGAGTTGCTTAGGGCCTTGAGATTGCTGAGGCTGGCTTTGAACTCGCAATTCTCCTGTCTCAGCCTCTTGAGCCGCTGGGATTACAGGAGTGTACCACCGCGCCTGACTTTGTGACAGCTGTCGTAATTGATCTCACAATGAGGGAATCATCCATTCTATGAGACATTTCTCAGGCCAGGTCCCTGTTAAGAAGTGACTGTTTCCTTAGAATGAATTCCTAGAAGTCAAATCACTGATCCAACAGGAAGGAAAATGTTGACACTCTTAACAGACCCCGCCAAAGGACCCTCCCACACAGGAGGCACAGGAAAGTATCCACTTCATCATATTCCTCAAAAAGCCAAAGGATTTTTAAAATATAATGTGATYGATACAAATTGTATCTTGTTTTAATTTGCCCTTCTTTGGTTATTAAAGGAGTTGGACCTTTTTATCTTCCATTTGCAAATCGCTTTATTTCCTCCAAGAATCCTTTTTCCATACACATTGCCTATCTTCTACTTCTATGTTCATTTTCTAATCAGTTCATGGTTTTGCTTGGGTTGGTTTTTACAGTGCCAGGGACGGAACCCAGGGCCTCACACATGCTAGGCAAGCGCTCTACCACTGAGCCACACTCCCAGCCGTGTGTATGTGTGTGTGTGTGTGCGCGCGCGCGCGCGCGTGCGCTGACGCTGGAAATTGAACCCAGGGGTGCTCTACCACTGGCCTCCACCCCCAGTCACTTCTATTTTTAGTGTGAGACAGGGCCTATGTTGCCTAGGCTGGCCTGGGACTTGAAATCAGTCTCCCTGACTGCCTCAGTCTCCCCAAATAGCYRGGATTACAGGCATGCACCACCATACCCAGCAAGGTTTGTTTACATAAGTAAATATCAACAATAAAAACAGTGGCCCTGTATTCTCATATGTGCAATAGACATTTTAGAAACCATATTTTGGGGAGGTATTTGCCATGTACATTTGTCATGTTTTATAAAGATATTTGCCATAAATAGTCGCTTGCTGTGGCCCTTTAAAACTGTGTCATTGTTACTGTTTTATACCTTTTTGCCCCCAGGTTGTTAGACCTTTTGCTTTTTCCTTTGGAATTTCATCCATCATCTAAATGCCTTTCAAGACCCTCCCTGTTCAGAAAAGGAATAAATATTTACATGCATTTCCTTCTAGGTTGTGTGTGCACAGTTTAATTTCCTAAACTTAACTCTTTAATTTACAATCCATTGGACCATAAAATGCCAACCATGAAGACACAGTTCATGCAACATTTCAAAGTTATAAACAGATGGAAAAGTGAAATTACAACCCCAAGAAAAATTTAGCAAAAGCAAGCTTGAATGTGACATACACTAGATTACAGGTGTCCTTGCTGTGGTCCRGCAAGGCTGTTAGGCACAAAGGGCGAGCAGATCACACGAGACCCCCCAGTAGAAGCATCCCCTCTCCACAGACAAAGCCTTGTTCAACGTTTCCTGCCTCACACTGAGCTCCCTAGGGCTGGCCATTGGAGTAGATGCTCTGGTTCCCCTGGACTTCCTCCTCGCCATGCTCAAGTTCACAAAGAAGCCAAAGGCCCTGCCTGGGGCTGCCCGAGTTCTGCTTCYCTGTCCATCTCCCACACCCAGGGGAGGAAGGATGGAAACTCCTCTAACCAACTCCAAGTGGAGATGGGTGTCCTCCTGAATAGAGAAGCCACATCATCAAAGAGGGGATGGGTTACAGCCTGAAGCAGTACTTCTCCCTTCTCCATTGTGTGTCTGTGTCTGTGCGGTGCTGAGGACTGAACCCAGGGTTCACCCAAGCCAGGCAAGTGCCCTGCCACTAGCTACACCCCAGGCCTGGAGCAGTAATTCTCAACGGCGGTGCCTAGCCAGGACCTACTAATAATAAAGGACCAAAGACTGCAAATAATTCACACTTTGCCAAAACTTTTTTCCCCTATTTTTAGGAAATAGGGTCTCACTGTGTGACCCAGGCTGACCCCAAACTCCCAGAATCAAGCGATTCCCCTGCCTTGGTCTCTCGAGTAGCTGGGACTACAGGTACCCCCACCACATGCAGAAAACTTCTCATTTTTAGAAGGTAGCTTCAAAAGACAAACACACACACACACACACACACACACACACACACACACACACAAAGCAAGGTGTACAGAATAACTATGTATAAACAATGTGCTTTTCCATCACCTTCAATCGCCCTCTCTGGTCCCACACGGTCCCCAGAGAAGCACTGTCCCAAGCCTCCCAGTCATTCCCTTGCTCTCCCCTACAGCTGTTCCAGATATGTTTGTTTCTTAAATCAGTTTTGCATTTTTTTTGGTGTTAAAATTTCTTAGACCAAATAAATTCAGTGAAGTGTGTTTGAGCAACACAAAAACAATTCTCAAATCCGGCAGCTCCTGAAGCCATAACAGTGTGATCACTTACAGGAGAGCAGAAGTGAGGCTCGGAAAACAACCTAATTGTCTATAGCCTAGTCAATCAACCAGTCAATTGGTTACAGATTAACTAGTTAATTGCTTACAGCTTAATTGGCTACAGTGCCTCGTGCAATCAACCACAGCTCAGTCACTGCAATTAAACTATATTGGTTTGGTGTGTGGGGCCTGGTGCAGATGCTCCTAGAAGTTCATGGCCGCCTGCAAAATACTATTTAACATTATATTTATCAAAATTGAAACAGAATACATTTCATTCTTTTGCAATCATATTTTTTTCATTCAACATTATGCCCAAGTTTTCTGACATAGCTCTAATTCACGCATTAATGCTGCTCAATGTGTTCCACTGAATAAACACATCACAAGTCATGTATCCTATCTATTGTTGATGAACAGTTGGGCTATTTCCAGTTTGGAGCAATTAAGAGTAATGCTGCTGCTGGGTGCAGTGGCACATGCTTGTAATCCCAGCGGTTTAGGARGCTGAGACAGGAGGATTGCTAATTCTAAACCAGCCTCAGCAAAAGCAAGGCGCTAAGCAATTCAGAGACCCTGTCTCTAAATTTAAAAAAATACAAAAATAGGGCTGGGGATGTGGCTCAGCGGTGGAGTACCCACCCCACCCCCAAAAAAGAGAAGAATGCTGCTGCGAACATCTTTTACAACTTTGAGGTATAACTTATATCACACAAAACTCATTATAAGTGGGCCATTTATAAATGCATATAGTTGTGCAAATGCATACAGTTGTGCACCCTCACCACTTCATCTTAGAACACTTCCATAAATAACCCAGGAGCTCCTCCTGCCCATCTGCAGGCAGCCCCGCCCATCCACCGTGAATATCCCCAAGCAACTGCTAATCTGCTTCCAAACTCTATACCACTATCTTTTCTAGAAATGTCATACAAGTGGAACTGTACAATATATTTTGTGTCTGGCTTCTTTCACTTAGCAGTTTTTGAGGGTCATCCATCCTGTTGTATATACCCATAGGTTTTCCCTTTTTATTGCTGAGGAGTAGTGGTTCATTCTGTGGATATACCACACTTTGTTTATTCATCAGTTGGTGGATTGTTTTCAGGCTATTATGAATGATACTGCTAAGTATACTGGTGTACTAGGCTTTGGACCTCTGTTTTCATTTCTCTTGGGTACATACATGCTCTAGGAGTATGGGTCATATGGTAAATTTATTTATTTTTTGTTTGGTTTTTGGCCATGCTGGAGATCAGACCCAGAGACTCCCACAGGCTAGGCAAGTGCTCTGCTGCTGAGCTACACCCCCAACCCTTTTTATTTTGAAACAAAGTCTCACTAAATTGTCCAGACTAGCTTTGAACTTGTAACCCTCCTGCCCTAGCCTCCAAATTGCTGGGATTAAAGGAATGTGCCACCATGCCCCACTAGAGTGCTTTTAAAAGGACTTGATTTTATTTGGGGGACATCTGACATGGAATGTGATGTACCCATTTTGCCCCAAGTGGTACTTGCTCTGTCCCTTCCCACTKCTGGCCTTTCCAACCCCCCTAGCAGAAACTCAGCTACCCCAAGAACTACCAGGTGCATCTGAAGAGGCTCACACCCAGCTTGGAGTGAGAACAACAAAGGTGCAAGTCTCAGCCCTGCTACTTCTTAGCAGCAGGAGTCTCTGCTGCTCCCATCAGCTGGGAACCTTTAGCCCACAGGCAGGGGAAAGCCATACCCTAAAGCACCTGCCCTCAATCCCCCCATCCCTTTGAGACCTTGTCTACACACAGGCAATTTTGTCAACCGAGTCAGCTACAAGAATACCCAGCTCCAAGTGGCTCAAACAAGGAAGTGTACTGAGTTATCTTGTGCAAACAGTCACCAATTCACCCCAGGACTGGGTCAGCAGCCCTCTTCTTACCCYCACTGTGACCAGGGGAAATGAGATGTTTTCTGCTTGTCCTAAACCTGCAAGYGGCTGCCACTTATTACATGGGGAGTTCCCTTCACTTTTCAGAGGAAAGAGCTGTGGCCCAGAGGAGTTAGGTTCCTCATCCAAGGCCACCTGTGTCTTTGCAACCTGGCCCAGCAAGCTCCCCATTTCAGCAAGGGATGCTTCCAGAGGCATGACGTGGACAGAGTCAACACTCTGCAGGCAAGATGCTCCCCATGCCAGCCCCTCCTCACCCCTGCAACCCCACAGCTGGGGCAGCTAAAGCACTTCTGGCCCCTGGCAAAAGCTTGGCAAGCAGGCCAACAGGAACCCAGAGCCCGACAAACAGCACCTCTAGAGCTGCTGGACACCAGCCAAGCTGCCTCATTCCYCAGGGCTGACTTCATGCTTCTGAAGAGCACAAGGCCCGTGTGCAGTCTCTCAGGGTTCAGCTCTTCTGCCAGCAAAGGAAACAGCCCTGGCTGGGGACCTGCAGAGCCGTGAGAACGCAGAGCCCAGGCAGCCCCACCACCACCACCCACAGGAAACTGAGCAACACCCCTGACTGCTAGGATGAGGCCTGATGCCCACCTGTCTTCTTGCCTTGACTGTCTGAGGGTGTCCTCTGGAGAAATGTCCACACCCTGGCTACTTCCACCTGTTTTGTTCCAGACTCCTGGAAAGTGAACAAAAGACAGTCAGACTTCATGGGAAGTACTAAGAGCCACTCTCAAGTCAGTCCTCCCACCTCAAAGAGCTGGCAAGCTCACTGCCAGGCTGAGGACTGTGCTTGGTGACAAAAGTAACCATTTATTTTACCCAGAGCTGGAGCAGCTGCCACTTTGCCCCTTCTATGGTGACTAACAGCAAAGGCTTCCAGGGTACTATGCCCAGCAYGTGCCCGTGACAAACATCTTCATGCTTTGCTTCCACTTTCAGACTTTCCTTTTGGGCCAAWTGCCTGCTTGACAGTGGGCAACGGTGACAACAAGCAAGGTGAGCAGCCCCGGAAATAGCACGTGGCCAGACTCCAGAACACACTTGTTCCTTCCACTTCTTTCTGGGGCATTTCTGTCCTGTCACCACTGCCCACTCACTCAGGCTGCAAGTCCCCAGCAAGGCATTTGTTCTTATTCAAGTTCATATCCAAGTTCCTATTCTCTTCATTCCATCACATAAGAACCATGTGGGGCAAGAAAGAAGGTCTCCATTTGTTTGCCTTCCTTCGTTGGGCCTGACCCAGAGGGAGCAGAAACAGTAGTTTTAAACTTTCCTTGCTGAACTTTTTCTCAGAATGATGGTTCCCACTCTTCAGAACTCAAAAAGTCTGTATCCCTTGGAGGTATGCAGGCTGCAGGATCACGGTGGAATTTTCCATTTATAGAATAATAATCTTCATACCACTCTGGGGCCTGCATTCTCATGGTAAGAGCTCAAGTTCAGTGTCAGCAAACCTGCCAGGCTTCTGTGGGAGTCCCAGAGCACTTGGGCTCTTCTATTTATTTTTGGTGGAAGAGGGGGAAGAAATAAAGGATGACTTTTTAACTTGAGYGCCAACACAAACTTGAATGAGGAACTGTATTGGCAAGTGGACTGTCCTACTGCCTGGCTGCAGGTCTCATATCACCTTTTGTCGAGGGCTAAGAGCCCTAACCCAACAGGTGATCAGAACAGGCACCATTTTACTGCCTCAAGTCCTTCCCTGTGCCTGCCAGCAGGCCTTGGATTGCTTCCTGCAGGCAGGGGCCCAAGCCACAGGCACATCAGACCACCATCTCACTACTCTTTCCACCTTCCCTTGCTCTGCATTTGAATTCTGCCCATGCATGTACCAATTCCATCTCTTGAAATACCTTCTAGACATGGTGTGGTGGGGAAGCCACCGGGTCAAGAGAGATTGGGCCCCAGTCCTGGTTGTGGCTGTCACACAGTTAACTGTGTAACCTCAAAAAAGTCTTTCTCTTCAGAGGCTCATTTTCTTCATCTGTAAAGACTAGAAGTAATGAGCCCAAAGACCTCTTCCACCACTAACACTGATTCACCCACTCATTCATTTTAATTTCAGCCCAGGCCAACATTAGCATCCTCTGCCAGGCCACCCTAAACCTGAAGGGTACAGCCAGACCTGGAAGTGTGACTTCGGGCCTAACCAGGACTTCCAACATCAGGGATCCCATCTCTTAGTTTCAATACCCACTGCACGTCCAGAGTGGGGGAAGGAAAGCCTTGACCTGCCACTGGCCCAGAGCATGCATTTTACTGTGCAATATCTAGGTCACATCCTAGAAGAGCCCTCAGTGCCTCAAAACTTTCCTTCTTTTGATCTTAAAGGGGGAAAAAATTACCTCTTCCTGGGAAAGGCAAGACAACCTGTCATCCTATCAGTCAATCAAAAAGTATCTAAATTTTGTTCTCCAATGTTTTTACAAATAAAAATCTTATTCGCCTCAAAGCATTAAATTATAATATTGGATATGCTATTTTTCAAATTGCATACACCCTAGATTTCAATCCAGACCCCCCAGGGGAGAGAGGCTTCACACCCATCATCATCATCACTGTCCTAAGCTCTGTGACTGGTGAGACGATTTTCTGGCCCTGCCCTCACTCCAACCTAAGTCACCAGCGAATGGCCCCAGACTGAACACCTGTAGGAAGGCTCTAGTCCTGTGGGAAACTCCAGCGCACCTCCGCTATTTACTAAAACCAAAAGCTCTCTGAGCCTTGGAGGTTTGTGAGTATTCCATTCGCCAGAAAACGTTCCCGAGCCCTGTGCGATCGAAGTTACTGGGTCGCTGGGCGGCTACGATGTAAGAGGTGCATCCTGAGATCTCCCCGGTGTCCTACCTCCCACGGTTTTTCTTGCGCACGTTGGCGAGAAGCTAGGAGACAAAAAGAGGGCTTGTCAGTCCGCAGCCCAGGGCCATCCTAGGCTGGAAGGTGGGTGAGTAAACCCTGGGGCATTCCCCCTCTCCCCGCCATCCCGAACCCTGTCTTCGGCGACCCTCACCACCAGACCCAGGGAGGCCCAGGCCTGATCACCTGTTCCAGTCCCAGGGTCCAGCTCTGGAATCAAGGCGAGCCTCCGCCCGGGTCGGCTCTCCCCTACTTTCCCTTACCTACCCGCTGCGCGTGCCGCGCACGCCCCCTCCCCAGCCGCCACCAATCAGCAACGGGAGCGGCGCCCGTGGCGCTGGGGCTCCGGTCCGCAGCCAGTTAGCGCCGCGGTCCGAGGCGGCGCCTCGCCCGCCCCCTCACAGAATGAAAGGCGCCCCGCAGCTGGCGAGGCGGGCGCAGCGCGCTGGGCGCGGGAGCCGCGCGGGTCTGAGCGGAGCGCGCGCACTGCCCGCCCGCCCCCGGCGCGCCCGCCTCTGCTCCGCCTCCGTCCGGGGCGCAGGCGAGGTGGCCCGGGCGGGGGAGCGCAGGGGGCAGGGCCGCGGTGGCGAGGAGGGGCGCGGGGAGGAGCGGGCCCGATAAAAAGCAGCGAGGCGGCCCCACCCCGCGGCTGGCCGGCGGGCAGGCTCGGCGCGTCCCTTCCGTCCGGCCTGCGCCGGCGGCGGGGAGGCGGCGTGCGGCCCGCAGCCCGCCCATGGAGGCTTTTCCCTGGGCGCCCCGCTCGCCCCGCCGTGGCCGCGCCCCCGCGCCCATGGCGGTCGTGCCCAGTGCCCGCTACGTGAGTGCCCAGGGTCAGGCGCACCCGCAGCCCTTCAGCTCGTGGAACGACTACCTGGGGCTCGCTACGCTCATCACCAAGGCGGTGGACGGCGAACCGCGCTTCGGCTGCGCCCGTGGCGAGGACGGCGGTGGCGGCTCCCCGCCCTCTTCGTCGTCCTCGTCCTGTTGCTCCCCCCACACGGGAGCCGGGCCCGGGGCGCTGGGGCCGGCGCTGGGGCCGCCCGACTACGACGAGGACGACGACGACAGCGACGAGCCGGGGTCCCGGGGCC